ATCTTGCAGACAAGTCTGACTAAAAATTATGATAGTTTAAAAAAAATCAGTATTGCTTCTAAGAGTTTGTAAATGTGCAAAATAGCATTCATCTACTGTCTTGTCATGTTAAAATGTGTATAGATAAAATTATACTACAGAAAACTCACTTTTTAAGGAGCAAAACTGATTACAGGAAAACAAATATTTCCTAATTTTATGGGTCCATTTTAGTTTATTCTATACTGCTAGCTTTTATTTCTTGTTCCTGGAATCTCCAGACTTCACTGCTGGCAGTCCTTATCTCCAGGACTCAAAGCTTCCTAGGCTCTGGATCAATTCGGCCCTTTGATAGGGGAAATAGGAAGACCAATGTATTCCTAGAGCATCAGCTTATCTAACAGTGAGCCAACTTCCTGCCTACTTAATTTTGACCCCAGTACCTTGTGCCAAATTTTACTTACTTCTTTTTGTGAACAACCACCTTTTGCTTATTTTCTCTAATTGGGTGCCTATTTTGTTCTAGCCTTGATATATGCATTCCCCAGTAATTTGTGCTCAATCTTCCATGTTGATTCTTTCAATTTTCTGTAAAATTTCACCCATAAAACATAGTCATAATATTTGTGTGACTGGGATGTGTTTCCAGATTCCAGGAAAAGAATCACCATACTTAAATGTAATGGTGTGATGAAAAATGTTCAACACCTGACTTCAGAAAGATAAATAAAAGTCATCAATTTGTTGTATATTTTACCTTAGGTATTTTAGATACAAATTTCTTGTCTGCTTGTTTGTCTGAATTTTGTTAATTCATTAATTATCTGCCACTTTCAGTGACTTGGTCTGGTGTCTAGTTTCTTCTCATCTCAGTCATTTTTGGGTCTGTGTTGCCCCCACCCCCATAAATGGAGGTGAAGGCTGTATATGGACATGGATTTCTATTGTACCTAATAGTATATGCCAACTGGTATATTTAACACAATACATTACCTCATAAAAGTAAAATAGTGTCAATTAAAACATGCTTTAAACAAATAGTTTATACAGATAAATTTAACCCTAGTTTAGTTGAAGAATGCTTAGGAATCATTTATTAGCCTTATCTTATGATGATATTTGTGTTACAAATTTTGTTATACCAAATAAGAAGACTCTTTAAAAATTCTTTTTACTATTTCAAGTGTATGCCTTTTTACTATTTCTTTGTATATCAACTAGAATGACACAATATCTAACAATTTAATCATTTGTAAATATAGGCTGATATTCTGAGTTTAACATGAGATGACCTATGAAAAGTATACAGGACTTAGAACATTGTAAAAACTCAAGAAATGTCAGCTAATAGTAATGGTATTAGAATTAGAAATATCTGAATGGATAATTTTGATTGTCTATTTTTTAAAGGTGTTCATGTTATATTTTTATTGAACTATTAGTCACAAGGTTAGATGTGTATACTGACTTACATTTAATACATTGGATTTGACTAACTGGTTTTTAATAGCATACTTATTTAGACACAGTCACTACCAGTGACTAAGAAAACTTCCCAGAATTTTAATTTAGAACAAGTTGGTATTTATAAAAGTAAATCTCCTCTAGTGAAAAAAAAAAAGAGACAGCAGATTTGGTGTATATTTTTGCTTTTCTAATAGAAGAATTTTCTTCTAGGAGAGCTGTCATTTATGCTTTTACTTTGACAATAAATACTTCAGGAATATCTTTTGGCTAAGCTAAGTATTATATTTTTTACGGTCTCTTTCAAGTTGGTGTATTATATTCAAGTAGGCATTTATATCTAACTTGGTTTGTAAATTAAAATTTCAATTTTTTCATGTTATTGTTACTCAAATAAAGGGCCACATGCATATGAAAATCATATGAAATTAACCAAATATATTTTAATTATAATAGTTAAAAATTTAAGTGAGAATATCATTCATGACTATTTGGTATTAGTGTATATACACAATACACCTAAACTTATTCCACATAAAACAAAGAAAAACAATAATAGTAACACAGATACTTAAATTTCTCAGTCATAAATCAAACAAAGTTATAAATAGAAAATACTTTTATTTTCCTGTAAGTTAACATCTTGACTTTTTTATTAAGGACAATTAAATATTGTCACCTACACACATTAGTTGCAATCTTTTCTATCTAATCAACTTCAAAAAACATTCTAAGCTCTTTTAAATTTTGATTGGATTAAGATTCTTATTCATCACTATGATTCACACAGAGGTTGAAATTTTATAACTTTTACCAAATTCTCAAGAGACATATTGTTTATTTCAGACAAAAGCATACTTATCAATTAAATAAGTATTGTCTTCTTCTTTTAAATAAGGTTAAAATTTTTGAGCAAGAGTGAGGTTATTTTTCAAATAACCTTAAAACATTTTCAAGGAGAAACTAATAAAATATGCAAATACCCTTCAATGTCAAAGTCTGAACATCTCAGTGTGTGTAGTGTGTGTGTGTGCATGATGTGCACATGTGAATGTGTTAGTATAAATTACCTCTGCCATTATTACAAATGAAACAATTCTTTATTAGAAGCATTTAATATTTCACAATTATATCATCCCATAATGATTCATAGATGTGTTTCATGTTTGAAAACCATTTGGTGGTGGTATTGGATATTGAAACCAGGGATGCTTTAGCACTGAACCACATCCCAGCCCTTTATATAATTTTTTGTTTTGTCTTGTTTTGAGACAGGGTCTTAACTAAGTTGCTGAGGCTGGCCTCCAACTTGTGATCTTCCTGACTCAGCTTCCTGAGTCACTAGGATTGTGTGTGTGAGCCACCATGCCTGAATCACTTAACTTTTTGAAGAAAAATTATTTTTATATATGGAAACCGTAACAATATTATAAGCAGTCTGGTTTAGTTGCAAGTTATATAGACATTGCCTTTTCTAGTTTGACAACTTGTGTCACAGATTTTAGGTATCTGCCATTTGAACCAGAGCTCCTTTGTCTTCCTTCCTTCTTTCCGTCTTTACCTCCTACCTCCTTCCCTTTTTGCCTTTGGTTGTACTGGAGATTGGAATCAGGGACACTCTACCCCTGACCTACATCCTTTGTTCTTATTTCTTTACTTTTTATATTGAGACAGGGTCTCAAATTTTCCATGTTCCAAACTGAGATTCCTTCTCTGGGATTACAGATGTGCACCACTGGGCTCAGCTCCTTTTGTCTTTAGAATTTTAGCCTGTGTAAGGTTGACAGTGGTAAGGTGTTCATGGGAGCTAAACATCCCAATCTGGTCTTCCCTTTGTTAATAAAGTAGAGAACTCTCACCTTATGACACATAGCAACCATGAGCACAGCTTGATTGGATCCATATCATGTATAATCCACACTATATCAATTATCTTTTTTTAAAAATACTTTTAGTTGTTAATGGACCTTTATGTTATTCACTTATATGTGATGCTGAGAATCAAACCCAATGTTTCACACAACCTAGGCAAGTGCTCCACCATGAGCCACAACCCCAGCCCCTACTTCAACTTTCTCATTCTCAACTGAAGCAGTAACAATATTAACAACTGCTCAAAGGAAAAGTAGTTTCTTAGTAGTGATACTGCCTTTTCAAGCAGCTGCTTTCTCAACCAGTCCAGCAGTCTAGTTCTTCTCTTCTTTTTTCTCTTATCTGTACTTCTGGGCAAGCTTAAATATTTGAATAGCTATTTGATGGTTCAAGGACTTGGTGAATTGATTAATGAAGGAAGGCATTCTCAAATCTTTATACCAGATAGTCCTTTACTGCTTCAAATAGCTGTTGCATGGCCATTTTACAAAGTGGATGAGATTGCTTTTTGACTGTATGTCTTGTCCAGTGCAAAAAGTGTTAGGCTTTTTCTTAAATAAGGTATTTATCCATTTCTTCTCTTTCTACTTCTTTTCTACTGCAGGAGCTAAGTTTATCTTCTTCCCTTGACCTTCTTTCCTTTTGGCATGGTGGATTGGAAAGAGAGAGATGCTTTTTTATGAAGATACATTATATTGGCATTTAGCTTTTATTTTTATGACTTTCTTAAGCATACATTCAGCAAGTATTTATTTTTGCTAAGTATTGTAATGATGCTGCAGTGTGAGGTAAGCAAAATGAGTAAGGAAAAATGTTCAATATTGTCAATCTTCCACCTAAATTTAGTCATCTTATACATAATTTCATTTTGATTGACTCATAGAAAAAATTTGCCATACTTTTGAAAAATGTCAAATTTGCTATGCATGGTAGATAAAATTCTTTAGAGTTTGGTGTCCAATCATTAAAAGAATTTTTAGAGGCATGAAGCACAAAAGGCCAAAAAGACAATGAAATCTTTCACCATTAAATTCATACTTTGGTGTGCAGATTTCTTGTGTTACAGGTTAACCAATCTCAGAATAAAAGCAAACAAAACTAAAGAAAAAATGTATTTTCATTTGAGGTTTTGAATAGTTCTTACAAATACATAATGTGTTTACATATTTCAAGTTGTAGTTTTAGACATATATAAGAGTCTTTACAGAAAAATGATGTTCTTTTATTTCCTTGAAACCTTGCTTCAACTGTATAAATAGCTATTGACCTTTAAGTGAATATTTCCCAAGAGGAGTCATATAATTCCAAAGGTTAACTTTACTTTTGTCATGTACCTCCCCCACTTTACTTGTAAAATTCTGTGTAATACCTAATAGGTTTATGGTTTAAAAATCTCATCTCTCAGCAATGTTTATTAAATTCCTACTTGGTGCAAATTCCCCAAGTTAGTGTTTCGAAGGAAGAGGTACAACAGACTTAAAATACTTTTGTAGTAGCAGTTATCTAATTCTAATAAAATTTTATGATGTTATAACAAAATAGATATAACATCATAGTAGTGTTTTATTATTACATATATTTTAATATACTGAATGACATAGGAGACTTTTATATCTGAAAAGTCTGTTATGAAAACACTTTGCCTGAACTTTAGAGGTTCCCCTCAAATTATTATTATTTTTTTCTTTTTTATGGAATACTTCATGAATTTACATGTCATCCTTGTGCAGGGTATATGCTTATCTTCTCTGTATCATTTCAATTTTACTATATGTGTTGCTGAAGTGAGCACTTTTTTTTTGTTTTTTTGCAACTGGATATTGCCGTACAAAATAGGGTCACTTCTCTGGAAGTTCTTGAAGACTACTTGCCCAATAGCTTCCATATTTACATAAAAGGAACATGAATTTTAGAGAAAATAGGACATTTTGATAATCATTCTTTTAAAATCATGACAACCTGAAGTTACAGTACTTTTTTATTCCTAGGAAAATTGGATAGCAGTATGTTGATGTTTGGAGGAGAGTGTATGTCATAGTAATTTATATAACCAGGTGATGTAAGAGAATATAAGTCACACTAAGTAAACAGAATTGATTGAACTAAATTACAAAAAAAAGTGCAACTCATACTGAAATTCCCATCAGTTTCTGTCTAGCATGTCCTTTATTTAACAATAATGGGCCAAGTTCATCCTGAGGACAGGTAAGCATTTAGGAGCAATAGTATTGTATTTTGTTTTGTTTCATAGGATTTGCTCATGATTTATCTAATTTGTGCTAATGATCAAAATAGGAAGTCTTTGCATGTAATGATTTTTTTTTCACTATGGAATTTTAGAGAGTTTTAATACTGTTCACTGTGAACTTCTATAATAATTCACTAGTGGAAAATGCTCTACAACAATTCATCATGAGTTATCCCAGGATACCTAGTTAGTCTTCAGGCAATGGTTAGTTCATGTGGAGGAAATAGCATGCTGATTTGCAGTTATAATTGAAGAAAATTACTTGAGAGGATTCTGACAGCACAGAAAATAGGCCAATTAGTTACCCAACTCTCATCCTCCTGTGATTCATGATTGTCTCCATTTAATTTTGCTGTCATTTATGAAGTGAGGTTAAGAATAGATTAGATTCTTTTAGCCACATCTTACAATTAGCTCACTCCTTTGCTACTGCTTCCTTTTTTAATAGTATGATTAAGTTTAAAAACCAGTGGTCCTCAAAACTTTATTTAACAGTTATTCATCATAAAGCACTAGCTAATGTTTAAAACCACCTCAGTACCATGACTTAACAATCAGTCATGCTCAGAGTGGGGGTTTCACCCCCATCAAAGAGTCATCAAATGCTACTTTATAATAATTAAAATCAAACCCAAGGAAACATAATAAGCTTTGGCCAAGAAAATACATATGAATGTCTTTAATTTTATAAAATGATAAGTTAATTATATGAGATTAAGGCAAAATATAAGCATAGTACAAAAAATCCACCTATAATGTGAAATCTAGGAAATTAAAATTTTCCTTCATGCCTCTGTTTCTTTTAATTATGTCAAAATATTACTTGTGCTTCCTTTGAGCAGAGAAATGAAAATAAGAACATTCTGGTTAATGTAGACACCAAAAGGTCATCATAATTTTTCACATTTGTATATAGTTTGGCTAAGAAACTTTGAATTTGAATTCTGTTTGTGTGTATGCACGTGTGTGCATGCCCTGTCTCTACAACAAATACACACTCCTGAAAGATCAGAAAAAGGCTTTTGTTTATACTCTTTTCCACCCAAACACCTACTTTATCTCTCACAGTAGGAACTAAGTATATTTATGTGAGAATAAGGAATTACCACATGAACTTGATTGACCTGTGCTAAATTGTTCTATTTTATGTACAATACTATTTTTTAAAAATTTTTATTGTTGGTTGTTCAAAACACTACATAGTTCTTGATATATCATATTTCACACTTTGATTCAAGTGGATTATGAACTCCCATTTTTACCCCATGTACAGATTGCAGAATCACATTAGTTACACATCCATTGATTTACATATTGCCATACTAGTGTCTGTTGTATTCTGCTGCCTTTCCTATCCTCTACTATCCCCCTGTACAATACTATTTTTATCTGTCTAATTGGGTCAAGGATTGTCTAGTGTGGATTATTTAGTTAAGTCCCTCAAAAGACTTTACTAGAGGCTATAGTACACTATAACTTTTATTTTTCATGAAAATACTTTCAACATCTGTCCATTCATCCAATTCATCTTCCATCTATAATCTATTTATATGATTTATGTGATTTCAAATTAATTTGTTTTGAATATTTTGAAATATTCCAGGACAAAGATGGGTTAAAAACCAAGTTCAGGGAACTTTGATTTATACTTTAATTACCTGTTTAATTGGGGTGATTATTTGTGCAATTATTTGAATTTTCTGGGCAGTAATTATGAAATAAGAGGGAATTATCAAATTGTAAGTGTATTTTCAGTTGTGTATAGAAGTCCAGGTATACTCAGGCCAAGTGTGAACACATGTATATATTTAAATTGAAATATCATTTAATGCATAGATGTCCCTCTTGAAAATCTCTAAAATGAAAGATGCTTGTTATGTGGGGAATCTATTTTTTCTTGAATTTCAAAATACTTGTGTGAGATCTCATCCACATTTCTGTGGATTGAATAAAGTGTTTGATTATAACTGAAGTCATGTGAACGGCTTCTAAAAAGTCCATTTATGTTCCATTTATTCAAGCTAGAAAGAAAACCAACCCATGTCAACATTATCTTGCTTCTCAAGATTCTAATTGTTTCTTGTAAAACACAGAACATATTACTGAGGACTGAAACAGTTCAGAGAAAAACATTTTAAATACCATCTGTAAACTCTTGTTTGAATTTTAACATTCTACAGGAAGACAGCATAAAAATGTGAACAGAAGTTCCCTATAAAAAGAGAAACCAATTATGCATCTTTATCAATTTCACTTTTCATCTCCCTCAATTATAAAAACACATTATGGAACAGATTACTCAACAAGCCAAAGAAACAAATTGAAGTGCAGTTAAATTGAAAACATCTTTAAAACATCTTCTTCTTTCTTATGATGAACAATTTTAAAGAATATACTTAACAATATAACTTAGGTATATTTTGTATTTTCTAAAAACAATGGCTTGGTTTAAGGAAGATTATAATTTATACAAGGGACAGACGATGCTTTGATTTATTTTCAGGATGGTCATATTAATTTTTATTTCCTTCTTATTATATCAATATCCATTTGTGACATGGTTATTCCAGAGTTAAGTACATAATACATAGAGAAATAGTAGAGTTCTTTAAGTTAATCAACAGAATTACATGAGTACATAAATTGTCCTATCCTTAGGAAAATATAGTATTGTTGAGAAATCAATATTTGTATCAACAGCTAATCAGAAGAAAAATTTGTGGATTGAAGTTATGAAGTTATTTATGTTTTACATATAAACTAAAACAAAGTGAGAGATGGAAGTGTAAAAATTAAATTTGTCAGGAAAATAAATTGAGTAGGATTAAATTGGAAGGAAAAATTTCAGTAATGATTCTTTTAAGTTGTGTGTGTGTGTGTGTTTCTCTAGGGATAGAACCCAGGACCTTGTGCACGAGAGGCAAGCATGCTACCAACTGAGCTATATCCCCAACCATCAGTAATGATTCTCTATATAAGTTATATGTTAGAATTTTGATGATAGTGTTTATGAACTGCATGTAGTCCTGTTCCCAATCAAAGTTATTTTCAAAAAGTTTAAAAAGGAGTGATTTACTTTGCAGACCATTTTGAATCATTATGATACAAAATCTGGAAGGTAAAATATTTGATCAAACTAATTATTTGACAATTTTTAAACTAAAAATGTCTTCTTAAATTTAATTTTACATGAAATTAGTATATTTAATTGGATTTGTAGATTTATCTGGTGCTAGACTCCAGGAATAACCTATTAATTGATATTGTGACTTGCTATAAGAAGTAAAATAAAATGTGCAAATAGATAATATAATGGCCTATTATCAGGATTATATCCATATACCATATCACTTAATTGTTGAATATTCACTGAGTGATCCATTATGTGAATTTGGAAATTAATTGGCTATTTATTTCTTTAGTTAAGTAGGTCAGTAGTATAAGTAATAGGTATGTTTGGATTTTCAAGTAGACTTTAATACAACTTCTAATTCTGATAGCCTTATGTATCTACCCATTTAGAACTTCCCCATCAAAATTTCACTTAAGAATGAAAGCTAGCATGATTATCAAATTCATCATACAAACAAGAAAACATTGAAGCATGAAAGATGACACTAAATTTAACTAATAGTATTTCTTTAAAATATTTATTGCCCTATGGGTTATTTTGATTTTACTGATGGATCTATAAAATAATTTTCAAAAATATTTTTTCTACAAAACAACATCTATTTAAATTAAGGGAATATTTTATTCATGTAAATTATGTAAAGATTAAAACTGACATAAGCATAGAAATTATTATTGGTTCATAGTTATATTCTTAAGTCAGCATCTTAGTTCTCTCTTTAATGCCATCCTAGTGGTATTTTCCTGAATGTGTTTATATAGGGTCTTATTTTTAGCCATAACATTTCCTTCAAACTCCTTCACAGTTACATTATTAGGTTAATAAATCTGGGATATTTAACATAGTAAATTTACTTCTTTGTAAACTACAATATGATTATCTAAGAAAATATTTCTACAGCTGTGAGATACTTTTTGAGCTTGGAACAAAAGTTTTTACTGATATTGTCAATTTGAATTTTATTTTCATTTTCATATTTTTAAATGTATTAATATTATGGCAAAATATTTTCTCAAAAAGCATGTCATCCTCCTCTCAATCTCATTGAGTTTCACTCCATTAGAAGCCACACTCACACTTTCAAGATAATCCTTTCTGCATCTTGGTACTCTACTTACAGTAGTTGAAGTTCAAAATTGTGTGTGTGTGTGTGTTCACGTGCGTATGCACTCACAGTATCTATTGAAATTCTTAAATGATTTTGAACAAAGTGTAACCAATATTCAGAGAACTCTTTGTAAGTATGAAAATACTTGTTAAGTTTTGACAACCATAACTTCTATTTCAATAAATAGAATATCTTTGATGCAGTAATGAAGTAATATTACACCAAAACCACACATTTTTCTACATATGTATGAGGTACAATGCAATATTTCAATTTATGTATGCATTAGAAAAATAATCAATT